GTAGTGTCCCTGGACTGATTCTTAATCTCCTGTGGTTTTGCAGAAGATTAAAACAATCAGGATCAGTGCCACTGGGGATGCAGCCCACCTGCACTGCACTGCAAAGCTAATCCCTCCCTGCTTTTACCCTTTTACCCTTTTTCCTCTCTTAAAATGCTGCAGCTCAGTTGTGCTGCTCCATAGGAGTCTATTGCAGTGCCACCTCATTGACCACAGCTGCTTAATTTCCTGCTTTTTCTACAGTATTTTAAAGCTTTTTTTACTATTTTTCTAGGAAATGAGTAGATAGTCTCAGGCTTTGCAATGGAAAGTGGCTTTGTTAGTATATGCTCTGTTTAATATAGCACAACAGCAGCGGCACAAGAGACTGTCAAAACTAAATAGCATACCTTCATTTGGCTAAACAAGCCTCTGCCCTACCCCCTGTCTCAAAGGTTCCTTCCAGGGAACAAAAGAGGTTTTCCTCAGGTCTGACCCCAGCTCATAATGTGACATAAAAATGCCCACAATGAGAGGCTGGTCTGTTGGTTTTCCACAATGTTGACCTGGCAGCTCTGCTGCAGTATATGAAAACCAGGAGAAGCCTTGCTGCAGATGCAGGCCTTTAAAAGTTCTTGGTGCAGAAGTACAAAAAGTCTCCTATAGAAAAAGCGTGAATGAACTGTCTTCTGAAATATTTTTGCGCAGTGATGCAGTCTGCTATATCGATATTGATGTTCTCAGTGTACTGTAAGGTTTTGCTTTGGTGTGTTAGGAGAAAGGAGTTGCTTTTACACCATTTAAGTAAAGAACACCTGATGTTTAATAGGCTGTTGTAATCAGGAGACACATAGCAATCTAGTATTGAAATCTAAATCTCATAAAGGCATCTTTTTGAAAGCAAGTAATTAGGGCCTGATAATAAAAGGTTATGTGGCCAAATTGCCTTCAGTGAAAGATGTAAAAATGTTCTCTGCTGACAGAACTTACACCAAAGAGTTTTAGGTGATGTCTCTGGGTAGAAAAGTAATTTGAATAGTTTTCTGTTGTCATACCCGGGCATCTTGCAACATTGTGTGATGTTCTTTCAAACCTCTTTTAGAGAATTCCTAAGAGGAAAGGTGACTGACAACTGGCAACACCTAACAAAAAGGAAATTTTGAAAAATTGTCATACTGATTTCAAGAAGTGTGATTGTGTTGCTAAAAAAAGTAGGAACAGCAATATGTGCATTTTCAGAAGATGCAGTTTCAGCAGTGCAGCTGTGCCCAGAGAGGGGATTAAATCTAGAACAATGTGAGCATGAGCTCTGTGAGCCTGTAGAGGAGCACAGTGGGAAACACCTTGTAATGTTTTCAGAGTGGATTTTTTTCTCCCAGCAGGGTGGAAAAACAGCACTAATTCCACAGGTAGGATGGCTGTGAATTAAAAATCATTTCTTGTACAGCAGCATGAAGAACTGAAAAGATTCATGGTAGAAAACTGGTTCAGACAGAGCACTCAAATTTTATTCTCTATTATTTCTCTTGAGTATTGGCTTCTCTTCAAAGACACAGGGACAAACAAAAACTGATTTTTTAAAGAAAAAAGCCCCACTTTAATTGGCTGTTCTCCTGCTAGGTATTTCTCAAGGCAAACTAGCAGCAGAAGGTAATTTTTCCCTCCTTGTCCCATCGCATCTGTGCTCCCGGGAGGAGAGGGGGTGGTTCTTTTTGAGGGGTGTCTGGCTGCAGTGGTTGAACAGTTAAGTGCTTTGGTTTGCTGTCTTCTATTTCAGGAAATTCAGGCAATGGATTGCACTATTAGTGGGTGGTGGAGCATCATCTGCCAGTCTTGTTCAAGCTGTAGAGTTATTGAGATGGGCTCTGTGACTGTCTCTTCTGAGATACTAGGTAGCAGGAAGCAAGGCTCCTCTTTAATTGAGCACTCCTTTTTATATATAAAAATATCAGGAGAGTCAGGAAGGGACCCTCAGCACAGCTTACCCATTGCTCTAGATATTGAAGCTTTGAGCTGAATATGTGATGAGGGGCCCGTGCCTCTCCACTATGCTGTTAGCATTAACCACAGGAGTGCCTTTCTGCTGAGGGTATTCTGAATTGACTTAATGGAATAATCTTTATCTACTTTTCCTGTCAAGCAGGAACCAGTTATTCATGAAATAAGAAATTGTGATAAAAACTAGAGATAGTCCTAAGAGGCTTATGAGATGCTTTCTGTCTGCACTGAAATGGAGTAGTAGAAAGGAGGTCTGGTAGTGAAAATAGTACTTTTTAATTTTTTTTTTTTTTTTTTATTATGCTGATCCAGCATAGGAGTTACACAGTTAGCTGTCTGAAATCATGTACAAACTCTGACTCTATTCAAATCTATAGTTAAGGCTTTCCTCCAGATTTTGTTTTCGTCTGTGAAGTTTATCAAATTATGACCTTCTATAGTATTTATTAGATATATATATTCAGGAATTTTCTGAAAAAATTGAAAAAAAAGGTCTAAGTCAGTAAAGTCCTGATGCCTACATTTGGCAACAGTGCTGTGCCTTTTGAGTGCCTGAGTTTTGGGTAATGGCTTTTCAGCTTGGGGCATACACTCCATGAACCAGTCACTCTCAGGAGTTGCTCAGTGCTCTGGTTTTGATAAAAAGTGATGCATATGTCTTCTTGGTCCTGCTTGTGATACTCAGCCATAAGCCAGGTTTGCTGTTAAACAGAGGCTCTCTAGGTTTGTGAGTGATGGAGTGGTAAACTTCCATCTTGGCAGCAACTACACAGACATTTCAGATCCAGCTCCTTGATTCAGTGATGGTGATTTTTACCAGCCAAAGGGCTTGTGATCATTACAGGAAGCAGCAACTGGCCCATACCAATGTGCAGTCAGAAAGATACATAGTGTGGTCATACCAGTTGCAGAACAGGAAACTAGTGATGAATAGAGGAGAAGGAGCTGCTGGTGTTTAGTCTGAAATGGCTGCAGGGCTCAGCAGGATGAATGCACAGCTTATCCAGGTCTGTCCAAGATAAAGCAATACGTTATACTTAATGTATTTGGCCAACCAGCCAGGAAACACTGCATAAAATTTGTCATTTGTTCTTGAATGTAAGCAGTGATGAAATCCCTCCACAGAGAACAGATATCACTCACTAATGGATTTTGCCGCCCCAAAGAGTAATGACATTTAGGTCATTCATGCCCATGGTGTTGTGTCATCATTAGAAAAATGCTGGAGGAAGGACTTTCTTTTGTGAAATGTCTGGCATTCACAGACATTAATTTTAGACAGTTGGATGATGCTTTTTGAATTTTGTAAATTAACAAAACTGTAATTTTGTAAATTAACTGCTTACTAGCTAAGACCCACCTTTTCATTGTTGGGGAGGAAAATTTCATGCATCTGGCTGAATTTCTTTTAACAAACTATTAAGGAACCCTAACATAACTGCAGAGAAGTCTAAGTGCTAGTCTAACAGAATGGAAGAAGATGTAAACAATTCTTTAAACTTGTTCTTTCTAATCTCTTGGTTACAGGAAAGAAAAAAAAAGACTTTTTTTGTGCACAACTTTTAGCCTACTTCTAGAAGGTGACAGCACTTTTAGCCTGTTTTCATCAGGCTAGCAGGTTAATAAAGGGCTCTAAAGTGCAGGAAAAGTTAATGAGAAATATTTATGGGATCTGGAAGGCTATATTCATTTTCTGGATAAACTAGTTGTATTTAAACAAAAACTGTTTTTCCTAACTTTCCAGTTCTTTTAAGTAAATTTTTAAGGTAAGCAGAAAGCAAATTTTGATACTGTGATCTGTTCTTTCATATGTTTAGCCCCTTCCGACATTCCTTGTTGGAGGGAGGTATGTGCTTAATTCATTATGACTTTTTTTTTAGTGTCCATAAGAAAGCACTGTAGCCACTAGCATATTAGACATTTTGATTAAATCCCCTTTCTTTGTGCAAAGACACGTGTGCAGGGACACTAATGAGACTTTCAATTTCCTTAATGAAGCCCTTCACTGCTTAGATGGTCTTCAGAGAGAAACATGTGAATACAAGAGGTAACCTGTGAATACATGGCAAAACAACTAGTCTGAGCTTTTTCACTTCCAGCCTGAGACACACCAGAGTGTTTGGGCTGTTTAGAAATATGGGGAGTTGAGGATTTTGCCCCTGCCATCACTAGGAAAGTGCTTTCCTTCTTAAGTGGTCAGTTGCCTGCTTGGAAGATCCCAGGGTTATGTATGCACTGGCTGTAGGTACTTGGTTCTGTTTGTTTGAGGCTGACTCCAGAATCCCTCTGTCATGAGAGCAGCTTAGTGAACTGGCAGTATTATTTTTCTGCCATGTCCTTATGTGCCAAAAAAAGTAGAAGTGTGGAGGTTTTTTTTGGTTTTTTGTTGGTTTTTTTTTTTTTTCTTGGGCTTTTTTGTTTGCTTGTTTTGTTGGACATTTTAAATTTGTTTTTGTTTTGTTTTTTGCTTTGCTTTGGTTTGTTTGGGGGGGGGGGGTTGTCTGCTTTTCGTCTTTTGGTTTTTTTCCAGGCAAGAAAATCAATGTAGGCAAAATCCAGAAGAAAAAAGCCAAACATATTCATGGTGAATGGCTAAATAAAGCTGAATAAGGACTAGCCAAATATAAAATCAAAAGTGGATGCAAGTATTACTACGTTTTTAAGATCTGCAAGCATAAGCAGTAGGTGGACATGCTTGAAAATTTTACACACTGTATTTGCAGCAATAATGTGTGAGAGCAAAGGATGTAGGAGGAGTACAGAGACTTAAATAAGGAACTAGGCACTTATAAAAAATAAACCTTTTACAACATAAATGACAGGGTAGCTTCGAATTTAGTTAGAAGACTGCATGGCATATGCTAGGGAACAATCAGTAAAGGAAAGATGGACGGATGAGATGGCAGTTTTCTCCTAATCCTGGTAAATTACTAGTATTGGTGACCATTATAACCATTCCTAGATGTGCTGCATTTGGTGTTAAACTGATTGTTTGTTAAACTTCTTTCTGTTTTTATTTCTAGGGCTCTTCCTTATCTTAGGCTTGATACTTTACCCTGCAGGTTGGGGATGCCAGAAGGCGATAAGCTATTGTGGACCTTATGCTTCTGCTTACAAACTAGGAGACTGCTCCTTGGGCTGGGCTTTCTACACAGCTATCGGCGGCACTGTTCTGACGTTCATCTGTGCAGTCTTCTCGGCACAAGCTGAAATAGCCACATCCAGTGACAAAGTGCAAGAGGAAATAGAAGAAGGAAAAAACCTTATCTGCCTCCTTTAACTCCAGTGGGGGAAAATAACGGCACCTGGATCTTTATCTGCTTTCCATTGACTGGACAAGCAGATCCATTTACCTGTTTTTACCATTTGTGTGATTGAGCCCCATGCATTCCAGCCGTGAACTACTGAAAGGGTCTTTATTCTTTGCTGGGCAATGAGGATCAGAGAAAGGATCCCAAGAAAGCAGAATGTAAATACTTGGGGATATTTTTAGTTTCATTCTGTGATCAGGACACAGTGGAATATATTAATCCAACTGGGGATGTAATCAATCACATGTATATAGCAGGAAATGTTGTTAAAACTGACACATTCTGATTGATCGGATTGCCTAACCCATCTTGGTCACTTTGAAGAATTTGAGTTTAAAATAACAAAAGCCAGCACATTTTTTTTTCTCTTCTTAAGCAAAAGAGAAGCCTATTTTAATGAGGCTGGATTTCCAAGGGCTCCCCTCACTGGTGAATATTTCTTCACCATCACCTGGTTTAGTACCATTTTCATGGAGGTGCTTTTTGGTACTGAACTTCCTAGAAGTACAGTGCCTTCTTGGATATTAACTTTATATTGGAGAGAGCAAAACTGATGTTTACACCAATCTTTAGGCATTTAGAAAGTGAAGTGCCTGCCAGGTTTCTCTCTCTTGAAACTTTAGAGCACAAGGTGTGTGCAGCTTGTTACTTAGCAGGTAAATATTGTTTCCGCTGACTAGACAGAGAAGCTGTTGTTAGACTGGCTCTCACATGATTCAGATAAAACAGAAATATTTCTACAGCCTTTATTAGAACTTGAAATCCCAAGCAGACAACAGCTTCCCACAGTATAAGCCTTACCTGGGCTGCAGTCTCTCCTACAACAATGGATTTCACATTGTACTTCAACTTTTTCTCTGGTCAGTGATACATCATTCCCAGTCTACAGATCAGTCTGTCTCATGACCCACAGGCAAATGAGTCTTTAGGAAATTTAAATTTTTCAGAAAGCCGTGACAAATTCTATATGGCTGGGAAGAATTTTTTTCCTTTTTTTTAATTTTTTTATTTTATTTTTTTTTTGTGTATGTGTAGTAGTAGACCTTTTTCTAACTAAATCAGCAGAAATTAAACAGACCTTGCCACAAATGCCATTTTTTTCTCAAAGCCAGCTGGTTGTGTTATTTGTGGTGTTGCCTCACTTACTAGAACTATTTCTGATAGCAAGTTTATAAGGTATTGTAACAAACACAGGAATGATTCAAATGTGCCATAGGAGCATTGGGGATAATTCATCCAAGAAGTAGTTCTAATTAAATACTAGATGAATTTTATATTGCTTTTCTTATTTCTTGGTATTTTAACATCATCCAGTGACAGTGTTGCTTCACTATTACACAAAGCAGAGATCCTTGTTTTTGCCTGGCCAGTCCTTTAAAATGCGCCATTATTATTAAAACTATTGTTGTTACTGTCCAGGTAGGTAGCTGCTTTCAATGCACTGCTGACGTGCACAAGTGCTGTACAGCAGTCCTGACAGTGGGCCTAGGACAGCCTGGAGGTCCTGGAGGTGAACAGTCATGGAACTGGGTCCCCATCCAGCATCTGCTGCCCACCACAGACACAGAGCGGCTCCCAGCCTGCGCCTCTGCCTGCAGCCTGCGTGCTGGACAGATACACAGGTGACTTCTGAGACGCAGTGCAACAAGGTCAGCTTCTGCCTGTATTCAAAAAGGGATTGTTTTAACCTAGCCTCTTGCATTCACCTGCTCCTGCAACCCACATCCACCATCTTCTACTTTAAAACTCACTGTTTCTTTTAAATGCTGAATTTAAATCCCCTCCAAAAGTTATTGTCAGGGACAAACTGCCTGCACAAACCAAGATTTCAATAAAGCAAAATTGCCAGCATAAAGTGGTGCCTGAGGGTGAAAATCACAGCCCGCACACCCCGTCCATACCTGTGTTTGTCTTGTTGGCTTTGCCCCATAGACACCCCATACATCTGAAGGACATGTACTGGCCTTGTATCTGGGGTCCAGCAAGGCTTCCTCCACGCATCCCTCCTGTACCCCTGCTGGAGCAGACACTGAACTTGGGCCACCAGTTCAGCTCTGCCCTGTCCTTGGGAGCCCTGCTGTTGGGAAAAAGGGGACAAGCAGTTGTACGAGTACCTTATCAACCAGCTAAAAATGAATTACTAAGCAGATGTACAGTTTTAGCTTCCTTAGATGGGTAGCAATCCAAACTCCAGGTAACCACTGCCAACAAGTCTTGACACAGTATTAGAGTGAAAAATGCTGCTTTGGCTTAAGCACTTGATTAGTCAGGTCAGTTCTCACAAAGGTCGAGAGGGCATACTCTGCTCTGCCTGAGAAGTAAACAATGAACAACCTTCATTCATGTTACTAGCTGACCTCTGCTGCAATCCACATGATGACTAAAAAAATTTCAATAGTACCTTTTGTTTAGGTTTGATTTTTTTTTAAGTACAAAGGAGAGATTTTCAGTGGCACATACTGCTTTTGTTTGCAATCGTAAGCAAGAAGAACCAGCTTTTCTGCTTGTTGCTGGTATATTATCAGCTTGCTCTGCAACAGCATAATTAACTAACTTGCAAGAATATCCATGTTCATCACATAGCACAGATAGAAGACAGGCTGGGAAGAAGTACAGAGGAGAAATAGTCAGAATTTCTTTTCTCAGGGTTCTGTTTTTCTAGCAAGTGATAAGGTGGTATATATTGAGAATTTTTTTTTCCCTGGATGAGGTTTTCAGGTGCAGGGTGCACTCACTGAATTTCACAGTTGTTTAAATTGCTCCTGAAGTTCACCTCAGCAGTAGCTTTCAAAGGCACTTTGGGAAAGAAAAAAAGAAAAATCAGCTTAAAGCTAATTTAACTGATTTCATGAGGGGGCTGCAGAGTGTAACTGCTTCTTAATGTACATGCACTGCATAGGATCTAGAGGAATTTGCTGTGGATTCTTTAAACCTGTGTGCCAATTAGTTAAGTTTGTTTTGTGGTATTGAAGATTTCTTCAAACATCTGTGGTTTCATCAACTTCTTAAACTTATATTCAATAAAGTGCCATAGACCATTTTTTAATTGTAGCATATTTAAATATATAGATATATATACACAGACTTGTGTGAGACGTGCAATACAAGGAATGGGTTTTGTAGGGGTTTTTTTGGTTGTTTTGTTGTTGGGGGAGGGGGTATTGAAGATGAATACAACAGTAGTAATAGCAGCTTGAAGATTTAACAAAAATATCTTCTAGCTTGATTTGAATTACTCAGAACACAGACACTTCCAGTGTGAAGCTGTGTCCACCTCTGGCCATTAACACTCTAAAATCTGAAAAGGGTCAGCAAGGTTTCTTAGACTGCTTTTTTTGTAATGTGGCACTGCAAAAAACATTGCTACTGAGCTATTTCTGGGTTGTCTATATCACCTCTGTATCTATTTTACTCAATAAAGTTCTCTGGATTCTGAGATATTTTTTTTCCAGCCAAATAATTTCTATTTTGCATTGTTATCCCCCCCACTGAAGTTTCCCACATCCTAGTGGTAAATGCAGAGGAGTTCAGGCCTTCCTTGAAAGCCATGGGCACTGGTGCCTACACCTCAAGGAAAGGGCAGAGTCCAGCAAAAACAGAGCATGGCAGCAACACATACACAGCTCCTTGGTATAGGAAGAGCAGCTGCAGTGATCCAGCTAGAGTAGCTTTTGAGCCATGGTTTATTTGTGGTACTGTTTTTCTGTTCTTGACTCACCACTATACTTGTTAGCATGAATGATGTACCTAATGTCTTCTTTTTAATCTAAATTTCAATTAAATGTGAGTTTTTGAACTTTTAACAGGAGTCTGACTACCTTAATACAAGCATATTGGACAAGTTTGATTCACTAGTAGCTTTAATAGCATTTAAGATCCCAGTCCAGTGATGTATTTCAGATTCCCATCTGACTTAAACACTTATTACTGCTTACTGATCAGAAGTATGTGATCTGAAATTGTAACTATGTGTTAAACAATACAGTTGCATTAAAGAGACTTTCTAATTGAATATAGCTCTGTCAAAATGTGTTTCATTTTGCAACTAAAGCACTGCATTTCCTTTCTTATGAAAAAGGGTAGTAACAGTTGTAAAACAAATACTGCTTCATCATATATAGATTTTTAAAATGGTGTTTGCCACAGTGTGTTTTAGCTTTCAGCTAAAGACTTTTAAAGAAAAGTCAGCATGTCACTTATTTGTCAGTTGCAATGGACCACTTCTATTGAATTTATATATAGTTAATCATGTATAATTTAAATACACCTTAACAGTTCCTGAACTTCAGAGAAGTAGCTCTTGGTTGCAACTTGGAACATTTAGAAACCCAGAAGTTAGGGGATAGAGGCCAGTGAGTGCACCACTACCATAGTCAGTATATGGATTTCAAAACAGGTATAGATAGAACACTTATTCTCACCAAAAGCATTACCTTCCTTTTTCAGTAAAGTTAATGGAGTTGGCAATAGCACAGAGTTCAAGTCTCCATTTGTGTGTATTGTTACAGATTTCCATATTGTAACTTGTTCTCCAAGCTCCATCTGGGTTTAGAATAGTGGAGCAACTACAAAGTGGATGTCTATTACCACTGTTACAGTGGCATGAACATAAAGATGTTGTCTTGTTCTGCAATTCACTGAAAGCTTGTTCTCTAACAAATGTCTTTCTTTTGTATCTTCGTATCAGTGAAATTCTGAGAGTGTATCTCAGTATCTGTAACTGACTTAAGCTATGACTCAGATGTGGTGGGATCAGTAATTTGGTCTGACCAAAGTAAATGACAAAGAATGCCAAATTTAATCACATAAATCTTAAGTTAGTGTCAATGTCCTCAGGAGTGCTTAGGTGTTTTCCATCCTAATTGATTCTGTGATTCTGTATTCTGACTTCTTCCAGTTGTCACAATAAGCCTTGGACAAAAAGTGTCACCCCACTGCCCAATCTAGGATATGCATTTTTTTCTTCTGAAACGTCATGTACTCCTCTATAAAGAACATCATGTAATCCTCTAAAAAAAATACAGGGGAAACAAAGACAATTCTGTACTGAAAAACAGCAACCATGCTTTGGCATGTGTGCAGTGACTACAGCCCAGACATACACAATTGTTTAATTAGGCTATAAACTTGATAAAATCTACTAGCAGCATTGTCAGCTGCAGCAGTGTCAGAGCAGCTGATGCCACAGAGGCACCAGTGGTCAGAGCAGCTGTTCTGTACAGTGGTCTGGGCTCCAGCCAGTGTTGCCTACCCAACTCCAGCTGTACAGTCAGAGCAGAAGAGCTGAGTGCACAACTGAGGCCAGCCTGTCTTCCAGGCCTGCACCAGACCAGCACCAGCCCTGTAATACAGCCTCAAACATTATCAATAAAAATCAGTCCCAAACATTTCCCATCTCTCCAGCTGGAAGTTTCCCTTCCTGAATCATGGAAACAAGTAAGTCAAACTTGATTATTCTCAACACTCTAAAGAGCAGCTCCTCTATATTGAAATATTTTCCTTCATGTCTGAGTGTAATGTAACAGGAACACAGGAACATGAAGCAGCACTCACTAAAAGCAGGACAGTACCTATCTATCTATCTATCTATCTATCTATCTATCTATCTATCTATCTATCTATCTATCTTAATCAACAGGAAGCCCCAAGTGTATTGACAGACAATAAAACAAATGTATCGAAACCACAACTGTTCAATGTAATAATCACTGTCATCCAACAAAATGCACATTTTAGTTGACCTGTATATACTTCCATTAAACTGCTGGAAATTATTTTTTTTTCCAGAACAAAATGTATGGCAGCATGAGCTGTTACACATCCTTATCAATGCCTTTTTTCTTTTCCCCTCACTATCATGTGATACTGTATTTAGTTTAATCCTTGTATAAAGTTTCACTGGTTTTTGCTGCTGAGCTAGACCTGCACTACTTCCTCTGTAAATCTTCCTGATTTTTCTAATTATGATAATAAAAGCTACTTGCAGACATAAAATTAATTTGTAGAAAAAAAATACAAACTAATTCATGTAATTTTTTTTTAACTGAGTTAAACCTAATTAATTATCTGACCTACTGTGCCCTATTACAGATTCATAACCAGAATGTTCTAGGTGTGTGCCTTTTCTTTGACAGAAATAGCTTTCCAGAAGTACCACTGAGTGTTTTTAATTACAGTTCTCTTAACCCATGCTTTTCTCTCAGTGTGTGCATGCTTTTCCAACTCAATGCTTACAACTTCCTGAGGAAAGTAACCAGAGCAAACCAAAGGAATTCTTTCCCACAGAGAGCACTAAAATGGTGTAATAATTCTAAACATAAAACATGACTAGATCATATAGCACCACAACCATGGTTACATTTACAAGAAAGTACAAAACCTCTTCCTATAGTCTGGTGACACTACCATCCTAGATCTGTAAATTACAAAGAAAGATCAAGTGGATGAAGAATTTCAATACTGATTGATGCATGCATGTGAAAGTGTCTTCAAAAACACATATCTGCCATCTCCCAAAATTATCCTGACTGTACATCAGAGCACTGTTTGCTGTATCATTGCATGAATATGCATCATGCATCTGCGAACTTACCTACATCACATTTGTCTAGATGAAGTCATTTGGCTCCTCAGAGGAAACCCAGTAGTAAGATGAGTACTAGACAGCAGGTGCTGACATTACATGAAAAAATCAACATATTGTGATAGTGACTGAAAAAGAAAAAAGCAGGACAGCAGTGACAGAAATGTTGATTCACTGGCAGAAATTAGAAAAATAAATACTACCAAAGCAAATATTGTTTCAGCAACTTCATTTTACTTTCAGTAATGCTTTAAGAGTCACTTAATACCTGTAGAATTCCATTCAGTCATGACAGAGCATGTTTAATTTTAACCCTTGTGAGTTTACAGCACAGAAATGTAAACTGCAAGTATTTAAAGAATTTTCTTCGTAACAGTTAAATAGACTAATTCTCTTTAACCAGATTTATTGATAGTGGACATCCATTTCAGCAGAAATACAGCATCTATATACAGAATTATAAAAAGCAAGTCAGACTTTTACATAGATCATCCTCCCTGCACATCAACCTGACTGTTAGAAGAAAGATCCCCATTATTGGTCAAAACTATGCAGAGCGAACACCTAGGAAAAAAGTCTTTTTTTTCTATGACACTGTGTTAATACAATAAATATACAAAACTTCTGAACTACCCAGACATGCAACAGAGGGACAGAAGAAGTGCATTTGTACAGAACCATGACATTCACCAGGATGGCAGAACATTGTTAGTAATTTACAAAATATACAAACATCCTCAGATAAATAAAAACAACTCCTAATTACAGATCAATAACTACTGACATTCCAGTGTTTAAACTTCATACCTTGTACTCTGTCACAATACTACAAAAAGACAACTCAAGTGGGCGCCATACTCTGATCAATAAGAGATCATAAAATCTAATTTTTGTTAGGTACAAAATATTTCAACAAATCTCAGCCTTCTGTTTTCAAAGCTAAACAAACTTCTCCCTCCCTTTTGGGCTGAAAAGTGTCACATATTTCTCGTTTAAAGAATTCAAAAGTGACACAACCCCAAATTTCATTCAGAAGGCTTAAATCTGTACCTTCAGCCCATGATATTACAAATCAACAATTCTTATACACAGAACATGACATATGTTTTCTCAAGAAACCTTCAAACATTTGAGAAAAAAATCTACCTGTCAAATTCAGGTTTTATTCCTAACGTGTTTGGGTTTTTTTTCTGGTAATTATGCAATCTTCAACTTCAGTTAAATTGTAAGTATGATGTCCCTAGGATTCCTATCCAAGAGATACCAAAAGAATTCCCTATATTTAGATTTAAAAGTAATCCATAGCAGAGTTCCTAGATACAGCCCTCAAGGTAAGTTTAAAATATGAAAAGAACAATTTTGATATATAGCTTCTAGAATGATGGCCTCCAATCTCAGCAGAGAACAGTGACTTTGATCCGGAAAGCTTTAAAAACATTCCACGCAAATTCAATTTC